CCACCCTTCACCTTGGCAGCAGTCCGCAGCTTTCTGGAGGGTTAGCCCAGAGGCAGCCTCGTTGCCTCAGGGGCCTGGCAGCCTCAGGGGCCTGGGCACTGGCCAGTCTGCCCTCCTTCCTCAGAAATCTGCTCCTGTCTGGGACATCTGTGGTGGTCCAGTGGCTGAGACTCTGAACTCCCAATGCAGGGGGGCCTGGCTTCGATCCCTCAGTCAGGCAACTAGATCCCACATGCAGCATTTAAGATCTCACGTGCTACAAGTAAGACCCAGCACGGCCAAATAAGTAAATATTTTTTAAAAAAGGAAGAAGAATTCTGCTCCTACCTGAATGAAGTCCTCTTCTGAGCTCCTGGGTCCTAATGACCCGATATCTGGCCTGTGTCCCCTGCTCCCCTACCCACAAGACACCTTGGTGTCTTCATCTTCTTGCTTTTACAGTTCCCCATTACCCCATTAACCATTTTTGTATGCGAAGTTATCTTTGTCAAAATAACTGGTGTAATTTCTGCTTTCCTGGCTGGACCTGGACTGGTAGAAGACTTAGTACCAAGAGTAATCCTAGGAGATGGACCCTCAAAGACAGGATGCAGAGTCTGAGTAGTCCATATCCTCATGCCTGACTGAGGTGTCTACGGGGCGTGGAACAGAGGCAGGGGCATGCTGGGCTCAGACTAGCTCGCAGGAACCAATGATGCACTTCTCTTTAAATTCCCTGTTCAGCAATGACCTCTGGGTTGCTTAAAATTAGTCATGGTGTGAGTGTTTGCACCACAGAAATCTGCAAAAACTATAGCTCAGAGTTACTTTTACCCCAGAGAGTCAGTTTAGCATTGAGCACAGGTTATAAGTAATCTACAAGTGTATGCAGTGGCACTGCTACTACTTGCTTTTACATCTGCCTCCAAGGGTGACGTAGCACCCACAACCACAAGGAGAGTCCCGTGGCCACTGCCCTGATGTCACAGTGATGACCCCGGGACTGTGGGGTAGTAGTTGTGTCTGAGTTCCCTGGAGCTCTTATGGAAAGAAAATGACAAGCTCTCTAAACATTCAGTTAAGTCCCAGTGGGAAAGCCAGAGGGATTCCATGGAGTCCTAAAATAATCCTTTCTTTCTTGCAGCTATAGGTTTTTGATCTTGCTGAAAACCATACCCCAAATTGGTTCTTCCCAGGTGGCACAAGTGGTAAAGAATCTGCCTGCCAGTGCACGAGATATAAGAGACTTGTGTTTGATCCATGAGTTGGGAAGATCCCCTGGAGGAAGGCAGGGCAATGCACTCCAGTATTCTTGCCTGGAGAATCCCATGGACAGAAGAGCCTGGCAGGTTGCAGTCCACGGGGTCACAAAGAGTTGGACACAATTGAAGTGACTTAGCATGCAGGCTTACCCCAAACTTAACTGGTTAGGTTGCAGAATTACAACATAAAGAGAATCCATTGATTTTCCAGAATCTCAAGAAGTCCATTCAGATGTTTATCTGGCTGAGAGATGACCAGAAGCACAGATGTACACTGACCTGTCGGTAGTGGGCGGCTAGGAACAGATAGAGCAGAATCAAATTTCATGGGAAGGAGGTGTGGGAAGGGGCTAGGGGATGCCACCTGGGATGGGCACAATGTGAAGGCGTTCACAGTGTCCCTTGTGAATGCCCACCAAGGGCATCCGTGACTCAGTAATAATCCAGTGGACAGGGTGACTCATTCTGGGCCCCTCTACCATTGCTTACATGCTGAGTTTATTTTAAAGTGCATGTGGAGGCAGGTGTAGAAGCTCTGCATGGGCCCAAGAACATGGACTTACCCCCATCAGGATGACCTGGCCACTGCCACTGCCTAAAGTGACAACAATGGAGACCAACATCAAAATCCCTCAATGGGGTTGGGTGTGGCTGGAACCAATGTTAGAGACCTGCCCGTGTGATCCTTAGTTATGTAAACTCAGCGACCAGGGAAGCCCAAATAGAATGGAGAGGCTTAAAAAAATAACTGAAATGAAAAACTCCTGGAATAGGTTTATCTGCAGCCTCAGGGACAATTACGGACTGAAAGATCTGAAGACATATCCACAATATGGGATACAGAGATGAGAGATGAAGCCCTGACAGAGAGGCAAGGAGACAGGGAGAATGGTGTGAGAAGGTCTAATGAATGGGTTTTATTTGTAACTCACTACACAGTTTTATGTATCGGTATGTTGTTAATAAACACAACGAAACAAAATTTTCATGAAAATATACAATGCACTCTGATATTTTCTGTTCCTTTTCTCTCTCAGTGCTGGTAACAACCTACTAAATTGATTTTATAAGTCACCTTTGGGAAACAACCTACAGCTTGAAAAATCTAGGTTGAATAAACTACTAGTCAGATATCTAGGAGAAAAAGAGTGGGAGGATGGAGCTAAGGTAACATTTAAAAGAGATAACTATTAGGACTTCTCTGGCGATCCACTGGCTAAAACTCCATAGGAGCAGGGGACCTGGGTTTGATCCCTGGTCAGGGAACTAGATCCCACATGTGTGCTATAACTAAGCCCCAATGCAGCCAAATAAATAAATTTTTTTTTTTTTTTTAAAGAGAGGGTGTTGTTTATTGGGTATGGAGCTGCAATATGAAAGAGTTCTGGAGATGGATAGTGGTCATGGTTGCATAACAGTGTAAGTATATTCAATATTATTGAACTGTACACTTAAAATGATTAAGATGGTAAATCATATGTGTATTTTACAACAAATTTTTAAAAATTTCAAAATGCTGAGAATTTTCCAGAATGATGAAAGATTCCAGTCAACAATTTGAGAAACTCTTGAGTATTCAAACAGGATAAATGTTACAGACTGAAGGACTGATGCTGAAGCTAAAACTCCAATACTTTGGCCACCTGATGCGAAGAGCTGACTCATTGGAAAAGACCCTGATGCTGGGAAAGATTGAGGGCAGGAGGAGAAGGGGACNGATGCAAAGAGCTGACTCATTGGAAAAGACCCTGATGCTGGGAAAGATTGAGGGCAGGAGGAGAAGGGGACAACAGAAGATGAGATGGTTGGATGGCATCACTGACTCAATGGATATGGGTTTGTGTGGACTCTGGGAGTTGGTGATGGACAGGGAGGCCGGGCGTGCTGTAGTCCATGGGGTCGCAAAGACTCAGACACAACTGAGCAACTGAACTGAACTGAACTGAGCATTTGTATCCTCCGCAAAATCCATACGCCAAAATCCAATTCCTGAATGATAGTATTAGGAGATGGGGTCTTTGGGGGTGATAAGCTCACGTGTGGGGAAACCTCATGAATAGGATTAGTGCCCTTATAAAAATGACTCCAGAGAGCAGGAAAACAGCTGACTATGAACCAGAAAGTGGGCTCTTGCCTGGCACAGAATGTACTGGTGCTTCGATCTTGAATTTTCCAGGTCCCAGGACTGTGAGAAATAAATGCTGTTATCTAAGCCATCCAGTCTATATGGTATTTTGCTAAAGCAGCTTGAATGAGCTAAGACAAATAAATTAGAAGATACATTGTGATAAAACTGCAGAACCCCATGACAATGGGAAGAAACAGAACATTTCTGAAGGAATAATGAAGAGATTGTCATCTGAAACCTCAGCAGTAACAATGGGAGCTGGAAGTCAGTGGTGGCATCCTACAGCTCTGAGAGAAAACCATTGTCCCTCTAGTAAACCAGGCAAAATATCTTGCAAGACCAGGAGAAAAATAAAGTCAATTTTAGAAGAACAAAATCCAATAGTATTTGCGGCAACAAACTTCCTGAAATAGAATTTAAAGATTTAGGAATGAGGAAAGTGATACTGATTGTAAATTGTGAGAGGCAGGAAGAAAAGATGAGCAAAGAAATTGGTAACTGTGTGGTTGAGTCCAAATTAATATTGACTGTATAAAATAACTTAGTAATGGTTCACAGGGTGAAAAAGGAAAAGATTAAACTTAAAATATACTATAATTAAGGCATATAATTTAGAGGATGGGCTATTAAAGTACACTTAAGTCCTTTTATTTTCAGGGAGCAAAGTAATCACTGAAACAGCATAGAGTATATAAGAGGAAGAAAAGTGGAATGAGAAAAAAATTAGCTCTAAAGATGCAAAAAGGAAAGGAAAAAGAAAAAACAAATGTGACCAACAGAAGGCACAAAATAAGATGGTAGAAATATATTCATATATATAAAAAATATAAATGGACCAAATGCTGTAGTTAAAAGACAAAGATTATCTTTAAAAAACCCCTTTTTTTTAAATTATGAAAAATTTCAAATTGGAAAGTGCAAAGAATAGTACAAAGAATCCCTACATGTCTGTCATGTAGAGTCAATGTTAGCTATTTGCTGTTTTCATTTATATATGAAAAGGGGACTATTAATAACACATATTTCAGGTAGTACACACTACATAATGAAGTAAAATTTAAATGTCAATAATGAGATAATGAGGTAGAGTGTTCGCTTTAAAAGCAAACAGATATAGGTTCTCAGTAATTTTTAAAAGTGTATTTGTTTGTGTAGGTGGTTATTTATTCAAAGGCTGTCTCATCTATGGCCTCTAGTGAGAAGGAGGAATCAGGTCAATTTTTCTGATCATTGTATTTCTAAATATTTGTTGCATTTAGCAGTACAGGATTCAGCACAGTGCTTGTTACATAGTAAACATTTAAAGTAGAGTAGCTTTTATTTATTATAATCGATGCTGTTCTTATATGAAGCGTTCAGCAGAGTGGCACAAAATAAGCAAGCAATAATTGGTAGCTTACTAAATTTATATTTATTGCTTACCACACGTCACCGTGCCTAACACACATCATTCACTCACAAACATCATGTTTATAATAAGAATAAATCGTACTTTCATTATTATTCAGAATCTCTAAGTGCCTGGAACATTAGCAAGGAGAAGTGGAAGTTGATTTTTATTAATTATTGACTAAAGCACTTAACACAAAGTCTGCCTCCCATGGGCCCTGCCTAAATAAATAATCTTCAGGATGATAGTCTTCAATTCTGGGTGTCCCGGACCCGCCCCTCCCCCGGACCTGCGCTATCCGCCCGCGCCCCCTCCCCGGCCCCGAGGGTCCGGTGCTGGAGTCCAGGGCCTGCTCCTCCACAGCCTCCCGCGCCTCGCCCACCAGACACTCGCACAGTTGCCGTTGTGACCCTTCCTGTCCTGTCTGCGGCCTCCGCCCAGAGTGTGGGCCCCGGTGACCGCCTGTCCCCGGAAGGCTCAGGACCTAGGTCAGAGGTCGCCTCCCCGGGAGGCCCGCTCCGACCCGCCACCCCGCCCGGGACATCTGCGGCCGCCCCCTGTCGCATCACTCCTCCTGGCAGCTCGGCAACTTAGGCAACTTAGCCCTGAGTGCGAGGACCACTTTACGCACTTGTGTACTGTGTCTCCTCCACATTGGGAGGGAAGCTCCATGAGGACATGACCTGGTCACGTCTCTGCTTTATCCCCCACACACCTTAGGCCCTGATAAGTACCTGTTGAGTAAGTGAATGAAAGGAACCTCCTCAGACATTCCAACGGGACGGGACGGAACTTTCCTTCTGCCTTTCTTGTGCCCGTGGCTCACGCCTGTGCAGCCGTGGTTGGCAGGGGGAGCGGGGAGGGCTGTCAGATCTTCCTCCTCCCCATCCAGAAGAGCCTGGAAGTGGAGTCCTAGGAAGCCCAGGGAGCCGCCTATATGTTTGTGGCGAGCCCAAGCCCCTTGTAATGTGTGCCTTCATCTTTAGTTATTATTCCCTACTTTCTCCACCAGAATACACTGCTAAGGGACAAGAAGGTCTGTATCTGATTTGAGCATTCCTTGTTTCCAAATGTACTGAGTGACTGTGTAGCAGACATTTGATTGGCACTTGAGAGAGGTGAATGGACAAGACAGACAAGACCCTTGCTTTCTTAAAGATTACGTTCTAGTGAAGGGTGGCAAGCCAGTACACCAGAGTATTTCAGGAGGGACTAACACAGGCTGGCATGATGCAAGCATGGTTTCCATTGAACAGCCAGGTCACTGCAGTGTCACCAACACTTGGCCCACAGTAGCTCCTCAGTAGATGTTTGTGGCATTGAGATGCCTGCTGGCTACACACACCCCACTTTAAATGTAAGGCAGGAGGTTGTGTGGGTAATTTACCCAGAGTCACCCAGCTGGCAAATGGCACATTGGAACCCAGACTACAGAGCTCACGCTCTTTTAACAGTTAGGCTTTCTTGATCCCTGGGCAGTCTTCCACTGTGGTGGCTTGTCACTTTGCCTCCCAGGTTAACAATCTCAGGTTGTCACATTTGGAAGTGACTCCAGATGTATAAACAGTGGAAGATTTTCCAGTTCAAACAAACACAGACCACAAAACCGTGACGTGGATTATAATTCCATGGCAGTAGTTTAAGCTCAGGCCTTCTGGAGGAGCCAGGCTGAGAAAGGAATCTGGTAACTCAAGTGAATGTGGAAGGTGATGGTTTCCACTTCAGTTGTCTGAATTCTCTACCCTGGAAGCCTGGCTTAACTCCTCCCGGAAGTTGGCACGTCCATTCTTTGAGTTCACAGGCATTTACCCAGTGCCTGCTCCATGTGACAGGTAACAGGAGAAGACGAGTCACATCACATAGATGCCCCCATTCTCCCTCAACCCCCCACCCCAGAACTTAGATCTTGGGAAGAGAGCTGACAACAGAATCAGCCAGCACAGTGCCGTGATACAAGGCAATCCAGATTGCTCCAAGATGAACACCCGAAGAAGGTGTCATTTGACCTGAGTTCAAAGGTCAGATGGAAGTGGGTGAAAGGGAAAGGAGTGGGGAGTGTGTCAGTTGGAGGAAATTGCAGGTACAGAGGCACAAAGGCTGAGACTATTGGGTTCCTTTGGGATGCCATTAGTATATCTGAATGACTAGGGCACAGAGTCTTTGTTGGGGTCATGAGGCAACAGAGTCTATGAGGCAGGCTGGTTGACAGGAGTCCTATCTTCCAAGGCCTCTGTGAACAGACACAGCCTGTGTCCAAGTTCACGTTGTGTTGTGTCTCCTCAGCTAGTTCTCCCTGATTAACCCCACCTCTCCCTGCAACCTTAATCACACACTTGTACATACACTCTCCTCAGTTCTTGTCCCAGTTCTTTTACTTAGTGATGTTTGAGCTTAGGCTGGCCACTTTGCTCGCCAAAACCTGGGATTACTCTTTTCTCCATGGGAGTGGTGCTCCTATCTACTGTGCTTCCTGTATGAAGTTTGGTTGAGACTATGGCTGGTCAGCTGCTTCGTAAATGTGCAGTATTGTACAGAGATTGGTTGTATTTTACACAGCTGGTTTCATCATTTCAATTTCTTTACCTGAATGGTGTGGCAAAGAGGAGTGATCTCTCAGCCTAGGGTTGGCCAGAGTAATGATGGCCAAAGTCGCTGGGTATGTGATACCAGGAAAGTCCTGGTATCAGATTGTTGAGGGCTGTTGGCTTGTGGCTTCAGAAAAGGCGTATGCAGTCTTCAATAAACCACTTTCATGATTTGTTTGTGGGTTTGTTTTAAACCGAGCGCTAAAATCATGAAATGAGGTTCAATACCCAGTTTTGCTGTATAGAGAGCATTCATTTCAGGATGAGAACTGGCTCATTTAACTGGTATCTTCCAGATTACTTGGAATGATGATTCTGACTTCAGACAGTTCACTTAGATGAATCAAACTTGTAAGCTAACTTTACATAAGATATAATTAACATGTCTGTCATCTAGAGGATAAAAACCAGTCATCTTTTAAGTGTAGCCTAAGATGGTATAGGGTTGTACATGTTGGATTGTTTTTCATCTTGGACATTTTGTGTGATTACGTTGAAGTTAAGGATGTTACAGAAGAGAAGAGGACACTGCCTTGCAGGACCTTGTTCAGTCTTACAGAAAGCGCTGAGCTGCATTGTGGCTAAGTGTCAGAAGGAGAAGGCCTCCCGGCCTCCCAGAAGAAGCACGATGCCGTGATGCTTGCCATGGTGGAATAGTAGGATCTCTTTGGATTAGAGTCACCCTTCTGAAAGAGTTAAAGGCTTTTAAAACCTGTGAAAAGTGTGCTTTACATTGTTACTCTTTCTGTTGCTCTTCCTTCAAGGCCAAATCCTTGACTTTCTCTCTGAGGTTCCAGTTGTGCCAAATCCTTGACTTTCTCTCTCTGAGGTTCCAGTTGTTGCCCAGCTCAGTGAGGGTTTTCTGAAAGAGTCAACTTTTAGGGTGTTTCGTATCTCTCTTCTTTCTCCTCTCCCTTCCCTTCTATTGATTCCGTCCATAGTTAAGTAGTATGTTGTATATTTTCTTGGTCGTTGCCCAGGACTCTTCCTCTTTCTTCACACCCTAGAGTCCTCCTCCATCTCATGATACTGTCACATGAGAAGGGTCTGTTGACTGTCCTCAGGAGCTGGTTAGTTAAGGTTTAAATCCACTGTGGATCCATTTACCTTTGCTTGGTTCTGTGACTGAACCAGTGACCTTCAGGAAACCTCAGGCAGTCCTCTTGTTGATCAGTATGGATAACAGGTGGGTAGCACCCCTGGATTGTTGTGGTTGGTTACCACTTTGGGGAGGACAGAGGAGCTTGGGTCAATGGGTTGGGGACCTCTCTTTGTCTGAGGAAAGTGCTTAGAATCTACAGTTCACCCTCTTTAGTTAACTTGTAGCTGAAGATTGTTTAGGAAGCTAAAAAATAGAAAACCTTGTAGATATAGTCTGTTCTATGCAGTAATTATCTTTCAGATGCTAATTACAGCATTAATTCTTTAGTTTTAGCTTAGCCCTGATTTCCTTAACATTTCATGATCACATAGAGCAGACTGTGTTTTACAGCACAACAAAATGTCAGCAGTGTGCTTAAGATTCTTTATGGTTGTGGTTTAAATCCATCCTGAATAGATTATGTTCGTTTATTTAATTATTAACCAGCTTGCTCATTAGAAGCAAGTGGCATTAAACTTACCAACCTTTAGTCAAACTGAAGTCTTCATAGATTGTGTTATTAACTCCTAAATTTTTGTTCCTGGGAGAAAAATGTGAACTAGAAGTTAACTTACTTTTACTCACTTATTCTTTTCTTTACAGTTAACTCTTTGAGGAAAAAATGGATAGTTCTTGGCTGTGTGCTTATATTTGGAAAATGGTGATAGTTCCTTGTTGTGTGTGGTTGTAATGTGAACACCGTTATCTTTATAATTACCTGGTAGGCCTGCATCCAAGTGTGGACTTATTAATAAAATAATTAGTCTGAATTGATGCTTATTAAAGAAATGAACTCTTAAACATTATTAACACTATCTTTTATTTATTAAAATTATATAGCATCTTTCCTTCCAGTGCTGAAGGCAAAATATGAGAACTTTGACCCAGCAATATTACCACTAAGTAGCTGAAAATTAGGGGAGGAATCAGGGGAATAAACTATATTGGTTATGCTCACACATGACCCTTAGGCTTGATTTTTAGAACCCGAAACTTGAGTTTTTACATAAGGAATTATTTATGAGATTGCTTCATAGATCTCCCATTTGTATTTGAAAAATTTGCCGTCTGAAGGATGACCATGATTTGAAACAAATGAGTACAGCTTTCAGCACAAGAGGAACAAAAAGAGTGCTGAGTTCCGTTAGTCAAGACAAGGTTGCCATTGAATGTCTTTAGTAAAATAAAAGCCTTCTGCAGTTATTTTGCACTAGGAATGTGTTAAAAACAAAGTTGCTTTATGGTTTGTGGGCTTGTGCCCTCATTTTCTGTCATTTTAGGCCCCTCTCAGGCTGTCATCAGCATAGCATATCCAGGATTGCTTTGGCCCTTGCCTGCTGGATGGGCTCATTCTTTGAAGTTTTTACCTGACAGACTTAGGCTGTTGGCTTTCCAAAAACATGAGTTGTTTAAAGAGCTTCATTATGCAAGCAAAATTACTGAACTCAACAGTGATTTTAAGATTATTTTTTAAAATGCCAGTGTGTCAAAATAGTTTCGCTAGAATATCTGTTTTTCAAAATGTTAAACTGTTGTTTTAACAAAAGCTGTTGATATCTAGAAACAATGCCTTAATGTGCTTTTGGATCCCCCCTCTCCCCCCTCCCCCAGCCCCCTGCCCCTGGCGTGGGGAAAAAAAAAATCCTTGAGAAAATGGCATCATCCCATGGGAAAAATCTTGTAGTGCTTTCTTTTAATATTTTAACATTGATGGCACAAAATTCTAATAAAGGTATAGAAATACTTTCCTAGAATTTTCCTTCATCCTTTCAGAAGGGTTATTATTACTTTTTGACTAGTAGGTTAGCATTTCTTTTCATCTGTCAAGTAATGTCTTCAATCAGGCTTCTTCTGGTTGTGTGTGTATTTGTGTGTGCCTGCACATGTGTGCGCAGGCCTGTGTGGGCACACCTTCCAACAGATAACTGATGTGCTTGAATTAGTATACAGTTGCCATTTCAATGAGCTCCTTCAGCCTTAACCTGTCTGGGAGGGGGTTGGGAAAATACATGTTT